ACCCCACCCCCCTCCACCCCAGTGAGACGGACATTCCTCTGGACATGGGTGTTTTCTGTACTACTCCTCCTTCTGCGCCTCCTCCTCGGTCTTCTCCTCCACAAGCCCAGACTCCGACACAGGACGATGTGATCAGCCTTCAGTCCACACCGCCCCCCAAGAGAAACAAGGTGAGCCCCCCCCCACACCCACATCTTAGCTCCGTTGCTAACTCAGGAAACGCTAAAGCTAACAGACAGTGACGCCATCAATGTCGTAGGAAAAAGTTGAATGTAGTGACCTCCCTTCCATTGTTGTTAGCGTTGATGCTAATGAGCTGAACCTCTCGCTGTGAGTCATGTGATCAGTGTGATGTCACTAACTGGCAGCTGAGTGGATAGATGAGTCTGACCTTTGTGTTTCCTTTTTTGGGAATGATGAATTCTCTTCTCTCCTCACTCTCCTGCTCTGTGTGTGTGCGTGTGCGCCCAGGTCAACGTGGCGACCCAGTGTGACCCTGATGAGGTCATCGTCCTCTCTGACTCGGACTAAACGTCCACTCCTTTTGACCCGTGAACTGTGACTCCAGGAGATTCTTCCACGTGGGAGCCGTGTTCTGGGATCAGGTTTCTGCTCCTTAAGGCTCCTCCTCCTCCTCCTCTTCCTCTTCCTCTTCCTCCTCCTCCTCCTCCTCGTCCTCCTCCTCCTGCTCCTCCTGGGAGGGGAACGTCCTCCTCTGGTTGGCTGCCGTGACAGAAAACCCTCAGGTTTGAACACAGGAGCTGCTGGAATTCTGGGAAAACAGGGAACGTCTGAGTGAAGCACGTCTGATTCACAACAGAAACCGTGTGTGAATTAGTGTGAAAAGTTGAACAAAAAACAAACTGAACATTTAAAGAAACGGATGAATCTGTTTTGTTTTTTTTTTTACTTTGGGATTGACCAATGTTTCTTCTTCTGCTGCTGCTGTTCATCAGAGGATTAACGTATGGTACATAATAGACGGACACTGAAATGTCACAGCAAGTTAGGTCAGAACCTGGACCTGGACCTGGACCTGGACCTGGACCTGGACCTGGATCAGGATCCAGAGTTGATGTTTATTACACCACGACGAGGACTTTGACATTTTTTGTCAGTTTGTTTACAAATGTTTTTATAGGAGTGTGTGTGTGTGTGTGTGCGTGTGTGTGTGCAGTGGATTAAGGTCAGCTGCAATAACTTAAAAAAAAAACAAAACTTCACAAACTTTTTTTTCCAGGATTTGTTGATGACCTCTGACCCTGTGACAAACTGCAGGTCTGACCTCCTGTCAACTGGTCAATGGTGGACAGTGGACACCTGACCTCTGACCTCTGGAAACATTACAGTCTGTTCACACTTTTAGAATTCCATCTGTGAAAGGCTCCACCTAGTGGTCACACTTTTTCACACAGTTCCCACAGGACTGGTTTGTTAACGTGGTAGAATGTGGTCAGTTCAGTGTGAGGTCAGTGGTGCAGTGGGTCGGTGAGTGAGGTTTAATTCCCACCCCTGTATAAACTCTCAGGTTTAACTGCAGCTTTTGTTCTTCGGACCAGGTGGTGGCTGCAGTGTGGTGTTTGGTTCAGATCGGTTCCTCTGGTGCCGCTGGAACTGTTGTCACAGACCCTCACTGATTGTTCCGACAGTTGTTTTCGTCAGTTATTTGGTCACTAGATACCACACGTTTTAAGGCCGATCACGTGTGGAAAAACAGCAATTGCCTGAATCATAAGAACAAACTGACGACAGCTCCAGAAGGAGGCGCTGTTCTGTGAGGGAGGAGCCTCTGAGCTCCATCATCTTAGTCAGAAGAACATTTCAGACCATGAACATTAGCACGAGTGTGGAGGTCACCATCACCTCCACCTCCTCCATCACCGCAGTCAGTGTCAGTGTCTGACTCAGTGGCTGTAAAACACCGGCCAGCAGGGGGCTGTAGCGGTTTTGGCGCCCCCTATTGTAATTGTCTTTTGAGGCGTCTCCTCATTCTGCAGATGGCGCCCTTGGCGTCAGTCTCTGCAGCCAGTGTCCAGAGTACCAACGTCTCTCTGGTGCCTCTTCAGGTGAAGACCTGAACTGGTTATAAGTTGTAATAAAATCTCGTTTTTTTTCTCCTCTGAATCATGTCTGCACTTGTCCTTTAAGTGTTTCTTTAACTGACACAGTTCTGGATCCTGAACGCTGAGCGCTTACGAAAAATCTTTTCGTTTGTTCCAAAACCTCCGTGGCGACTTTGACCGGTTAAGCCTGGAGAGTTTTGGAACAGACCTTGAATGTGACCTCACTTAACGACCAGGTTGGGCATGAACTGAAGCGACCTGGAAAAATAATCTGCTTTTAAATCTATGAGAATCAGAGTCTAGAAAATAACGGGAAAATCATAAAGATGAAGTCAGTTCTGGATTATCCTTTAGTTTTATTAAATAAAAAAACCACCAGACTCTGAATTGGCCTGAAACATTTTCCTCAACATTGTTTTTCAGTCTCATCTTTAAGTCTTTTAGTTCAGAAAAGTCAAACTTCCTGTTTGACGATTCACCTTTTGACACGTGACAGATTTGCACCAAACCATGGGAGTGTTATAGCAACTACTGTTTTATTTCCTGTCCTCCTTTTTTTTTACTCTGCGTCTGTGACTGTGCCCGGGTTCATGTTTTTCTACAGAATCTCTGAATGGTGTTTGTACTACATTTAAAATTATATTTTTTGTAAGTAAAGTCTTTTTTAAACTGCCAGCCTTGAGTGTCTTAATTTGACTGACTTAATTGTGTTAAAAGGGTTTTAGGACTTTTCTCTTATTAAAAAAAAAGGATTTTTATTTATCCTCTGACTTGTTAAAACATTTTAGAACAGTGCATGTTTTCCTAATCTCATTTAGCCATGTTTTATTTATGTATACTATTTTTAAGTTAGATAATGGAAGGATGGATGGGATTAAGATATTTTGATAATTATATATAATAAATCATGAATATATAAGTACATATTTATTTGATTTATAATAAACAAAGCAGATTGTGTTGCAAACGAAAAAAGAAAACAGGCAACATTTGAGAGGAATTGTAAAATAAATGATCTAATTTGTTTTTTTCTGTCTACAGTACAACTTCTATTACAATGCAGTTGCATGTCTCCGTTTGGCCACTAGATGGCAGCGACACACATCCCGAGCGATGGTGATGCTGTTTTAAAGCCTCAGCTTCCTCGGCTTTGTTGTGCTGACGTCACTAGTAGCGTCATTAGCCGAGGCTGCGGGCTGACGGTAAATATCGATCAGAGCTGGCAGACGTTTACATCACTTTTCTTCACTTAAATCAAAACAGCCCAAATTCTCCGATAGAAAAACAACCCTTATTTATTTCCGGGCAGGTGAGTGACTGCATTTGACTGTAAATATAAGACGAAAACGCGAAGGTTCATCTCAGTTCGACAGTTTATTTGGACGCAGCAGCGGCGGCGGCACTGTTTTCATGTCTTATTTAGAAACAAAACCGTTAAAGACATGTTTAAATAAAGCTGTCCGTTATTGGTCACGTGTTCTTTTTTTCTCCTTTCACTGGTTTAAATCTTTACCGTAATGTTCTGTGAATTTGAAGGCAATATTTTCACAAATTAGATTTCAGACGCGGGTCTGTTTCCTGTTTGCCCCTCCCGCTTTTTAATTATTCGTCTTTACGGTAAAGTACAACCGGAGGGTCGTTAAATTTCACATTTCTGCTCGTTCTTTTAACCTTTTTAACTTTTAAAAGCGCTGTGGGTTTTATTTTTTGTCTTTTTTATCTAATCTGTTGTTTGCCGTTTGTTTGTTTGTTTTTTAAGTAATTTTAAATCGACTTTATTTTCGGAAGCTTTTGCGCACAGATGTGTTCATGTGAAGATTGCTACAGGGATTAGCTTCTACGCAACAAGACAGGAATTGTTTTTTTTATAATATTAATAATATTATTGTTTTTTATCCCACATTAGCAGAAAAACAACGTTAGTTGTTAAACCTAAGAAAGGCGTCATTAAAAACCAGCAAAGAAAAAATAAATTTCAATAAATTATTATTTTCAGCCGAGTCATTCTGTTACAAGACACGAGGAATACATCTTCACACAAATATTTTTATTTTATTAATTTATGACGGTATGACTAAAATATTTGTATTACACATTTAATTTAGTCTTAAAATGTTGACGTCTAATATTAAAAAAAAAATTCTGCTCATGTCGTTTCCGTCAACGCTACATTTTTGACAGTGAATTAAAATGGTAAATATTTTTTCTATCTATTTTCAGTCTGAAGGAGAAAAAAGGAGGAGCAACATGTTCTACACCTGTGGTCCCAACGAGGCGATGGTGGTGTCAGGTAACGTGTGACCTTCGACCCTGGCCAGATTCAGACTTCCTGTTGACAAAAACAAAAACATTAGCTTCCTGCGTGTAAAGACTAGATTTATTTTATTCCTTTGTTACTTTATTTGAAATGTGTTAAATTATATTAAATTAACGAGATTTCATTCCAGACGTCACCTCTGTGCTACAGCTGCTGGAAATAAACTATATAAAAAAACAAAAAAGATAAAAAACTAAATGACATGATTTCCTCTCCGCTCTCTTCCAGGTTTCTGTCGTTCTCCTCCAGTGATGATCGTCGGAGGTCGAGTCTTCGTCTTCCCCTGTGTTCAACAGATACAGAGGTTCGTTAACGTGACCCTGAGGTCACTATGGCATTGACCTTTAGGCCAAGGGTCCGTTTGACGTGCCAGAATTAGGAATGAGCTCCAGTCAAATTATCCATCCATCCATCCATCCATTTTCATCCGCTTATCTGTTTCCGGGTCGCGGGGGCAGCAGTCTCCACCCAAATCACATTGCACCGTACCAAACCTTCCTGTGGTGGTGGTGAGTCCACTGGAAGGTACCAACCGCCCTAACCGGGATTCGAACTTGCCCAGGAGGTGAACCCTGGGGTTCCACACCAATGACAGAGACATTGCCTCTGGGCCAAAGCGCCACTCCAGTCAAATTACTACCAAACCCAATGATCGCCACCTACTGTTCTAGAACACAACAGTTAATAACAGTTATAGTTTGAATTTTAATTAAAAAAAAGTTTAAGCCTGCAGTGTCCACCTGGGGGCAGCAGAAACGTCAGGTTGACTCCTTCTCCCATTAGTTCCACCATCAGTCATTGGAACCTGTGTCTGTCCAACTGCAGGATCTCCCTCAACACTCTGACTCTGAACGTGAAGAGCGACAAAGTCTACACTCGCCACGGCGTTCCCATCTCTGTGACGGGCGTGGCCCAGGTCAGTGGTCGGCAACGACGATAACGTCAAGAAAACGCCGCAGCGTTCGACCGCGACGGGTCAAGTAAAAGATGGAAAATAAAGTGATCAGATGTCATAGCAGGGGTCAGTACAGGGGTCAGGGCTGAGGTCAAGGCAGAGGTCAGAGTAGAGGTCTGATTTATTTTATTTTATTCATATTTTCCAACATTACAGTCCTGTTCAGATAAAGACAATCTTACTCAGTGATATTTTAACTAAGATCCACAAACGCAGTTCAGCACAGTCGCCCCCTAGTGGTTTCATATCAACTCACATCCCCACTGTTTTCTGATCAGAATCTGTTTTTTTTTTTCTCCGACAGATGAAGATCCAGGGTCAGAACAAACAGATGCTAGCTGCAGCCTGTCAGATGTTCATGGGAAAGTCAGAGCCGGAAATTGCACATATCGCTCTGGAGACGCTGGAGGGCCACCAGAGGGCGATCATCGCACACCTGACTGTAGAGGTGAGGACATCTGGGCTCAGTTTGAATGATTTGAATGTTTCCATACACGCTAACTCACGTCACCACCAGCGCTTTTAGGCGCATACTGCCACCTACTGTACAAGAGTGTGTAGTGTCATGGTATGACCAGTGCATTTTGAGATGCACACCTCGATTCAAGATTCATTTTTTATTTCAGTCGATGTTAATTTGTATTGATTTTTAGCTCAATCACGATGTTATACTTTCACTGTGTAGTTTTGTTGTAAACGGTGTCTGTGAAGTCACCGTCGTCTTCATCTCCACCTCCGTCTCGCAGGAGATCTACAAGGACCGTAAGAAGTTCTCCGAGCAGGTTTTCAAAGTGGCCTCCTCCGACCTGGTCAACATGGGCATCAGCGTGGTCAGCTACACCCTCAAGGACGTTCACGACGACCAGGTGTGGCACAGACCACTTCACTGCTCAGCTCCTGCTCCTGCTCCTGCTCCTGCTCAGTGTTGTCATGTTCATGTTGTCGTCCGTCTCACCGCAGGACTACCTCCACTCTCTGGGGAAAGGTCGCACGGCGCAGGTTCAGAAGGACGCTCGCATCGGAGAAGCTCAGAACAAGAGAGACGCCGTGATCAGGGTCAGACTCTTCTTCATCTTCTTCTCTGTGTCTTCATCCTGAAGGAGATCAACGTAAAGGAGAAACTTTCCTCCTCCTTCTCCTCCTCCTCCTCCTCCTCCTCCTCCTCCTCCTCTCTCATGTCCTTCCCTCTGTCTCTCGACCAAAACACAACAGAACCTTTAAAACAGTCAGTACAGAATCAGGGTATCAATCTCCTCAGTCATTGATC